CACTGGGTGTTGTGCATGAACAATGAATCATGGAACACTTCATCTAGAACTAATGATGTAATGTATGGGGATTAACATAAGAAGAAAAAAAAAAATAGCACAGTGTCTGACACACATAGCCAATACTCAGTATATATGAACTGCTACTGGTATGTTTAATAACCCTCTATGGAACTGTTATTGAGTTTAGCCCCCAGGACCACATTAGTACTCCAGACATGAAAAGGAAAGTTCTGTCAGGGCGCCTAGGTGGCTCAGTCAGTTGAGCATCCAACTCTTGGTTTCAGCTCAGGTCATGATCTCAGGGTCATGAAATCAAGCCTTACATCAGGCTCTATGCTCAGCAGGGAGTCTGCTTGAGATTCTCTTCCTCCTCTCCCTCTGCCCCTCCCCCTGCTCACACATGTGTGCACACACTCTCTCTAAATCTTTTAAAAAGAGAAAACTAAAAAAAAAAAAAGAGAGAGAAAACTAAGGTTCTGTTACAAATGCAATTAAATCCTACGGCGAACATAAGAAGATGCAGAGTTATGACTTGGTAAGTGCAACCTCCTTGATTGCCCTATTCACAAACATAAGAAACAAATGAAGGAAAATCTTCTATACATAAATGTTTCTCCTCACTACCATTGGGCCAAAACCCCACTTCTGATTTCTCTCACTAACTGAAGGAATTCTCTTCTCTTGGGTACTCTGTAAGGAGGAAGGATTGGGTTTTTCTAGTCTTTTATGACACTTAAGAGAGGTACAAACAAGGTTCAGAAGTTACCACTTTTTCAGCGATTCTCTTGGCACCAAACAGGGTGCCGAAAAGAACATCTCAGTGTTGGAGAAAATGTGTGTTCTTTTGTACCCTGAGGGAAGTCCAGCTGAACATGTACAACTCCTGGGGCTTATTGGACCCAAAAAAATGCCTTTCTTCCAATTTATATCAGTGGAGTAGACTACAATGAACATTTGGGGACCCAGGGGAATTTTTTTAAATGTCTTAAATCTATGGCTTCCTCTATTCCTGTCAAATTAAAGTGGATTAAACAAAAGATCTATATAATAATATTAACAATGTATAGATCTTTTGTTTAAACCACCTTGAATTACCTATGTGTGTATATAGAGATTAAATGGAGACCGTAAACTTAATAACCATGAGGAAATAATACAGCTGTGGTATTTAAGCAGAAAAGTTGGCTATGAGTTTCCCGGGGCCAAGCAAACGGGAAACATAAGTTCTGTACTTCCTGGGATAAGGACTACCACATACTAAGTACCTATCATTTCCTGGGTACTGTATTAAGTCTTTTACTTTTTTTTATTTCGATTACTTTACACTCTACTCTTGAAAATAGATATCATTCCCTATTTAACAAATGAAGAAGCTGAGTCTCAGAAGGACTAAATTGCCTAAATTCATATAACCAGAAAAGGGTAGAACCAGGATTTGAAGCCAAAAGCTAAGTATTAAATGCATTTTTTCTACCACTTCTTCTACTAGAAAAGAAAAAAAAAAAAGAAAGAAAATTAAAGGAAAACTAATTTCATAACCATTTTCCTCACTGTAAATTACAAGTGAAATTTCTCCCATGGAGCATTACAAACATAGATGATTTTTATCTGGATGTGGGAGTAGCGGGGGGAGGGGGAGAAGAAGAGGGAGAGACAGAGAGAGAGAATATGTACTTCCCCTCAGCCAAGCTGTCATATATAAGAACTGGGTATCAAAAGTAAAGACTACATGCTTCCAGTTCCATGTGGAAAGAGAAGTCCGTCCCTCTACACATTATGATGGCAATGCAGTATTCGAAAATCTGGACTGCTCAACATAGGCCATTTCTCCTGCATTCAAAACAAAGGACCTCTGAGTCCCAGGAAGCTAGGCTCAGCGCTGAAGAACACAGGCTGCTCATTCCACCTCAGCAGTGTCTCCAGTGGCTGCCAAAGACAGACTCCCCCCTAAGGGAGCCACTGACCCATGGGCGCAGTGTGCCACCTTGTGAGCCAGAGACAGTGTGCAATTTCCTGAATGACAGCCAGCCCTCAGAGCAAGCTGTGACTCAGGCCCCAGGCCCCAGGGGGCACCAGGTGCAACGTAGTTGGAGGTATGCGAGGTGCAGGTACTTCTGTACCTGCTCCCAGGCTGCACAGAGAAATGACTGATACGGGTATTTACCGGAAACATTATCGAGTGCTGCAAGCCCAACAGAAAAAATTATGAACTTGGAGTCACGAGCCCCTTTGTGCCACTAACTACTTCACGCGACCTTGAGCAAGTCACCTAATTCCTCTGGGCCTCATCTGCCAATGCGAAAGGTTGACCAGGTGATCTGCAGGGGCCCATCCAGCTCTAACGATATGAACCTACCACAGGAGAGGGCAATTATTGCCAACATCAACAGAAAGAAGGATTCATTGTACAAATCTGAGCACGAAAATGGACTTGTGAGATTCACAGCAAACTTACGAAGCTGATAGCTACGACAGAAAATGTTTTCTAGATTTCAAGAGTCTGAATATTTAAATATCAATAGTTATACCATAAACAAAAGATTCTGCAGCCAAGAGATGAAGAGCCAGCCCACCCAGCTATTCCATTCCCACTCCCACCTAGACTAGAAAAAAGTTGCCCACACTAGAGTTAAAAATGGGTGTCAGGCTTCTGTCACCTGCCTATCCTCAAGCCAAGTTTCAGGTGGGAGTGAGAACTTACACCCCACTTCCTCTCTCGGACGTGGAAAGCAGAGGTATACTAAGCCTGTGGTAGCATTAAGGAGAAAATGTGCCGTGCCATATAGAAACAAGGGAGGGTTGAGAGAACCTCTGAGTTTTCCCCAGAGTGGCATGAAGACCAGAATCTGGAAGCTCCTGAGCCCCCAAGAAGCATAAGATATTGATAAAACACAACCAGTAACCCTAAAAGTCCCAGAAGTCAGAACAAGGCCAATGCAAAGGGATTGCATGGTCCCAGTGACCAGGGGCTCGTGGATGGCCAGTCCCAACACTGTGGTCCTTCCATATGCATTTCTTACTTGTCTCTGTATCTCTGCTGACTAGCACAGTGGCCAGTAAATGTTCACTTTGTAATATAATGTAGCCAGGACCATGGAGCAGTGAAGAGTTACCAGAGAAACTGAGTTCTGTCGACGCCATTTTCCTTAATTCTCCATGTAACCCCCAAGTACCATCAATAATAGAATAACTATCTCATAGAAACAGAGAGAACAGTAGTTGCCAGAAGCTGGGGGCTGGGGGTGGAGAAATGGGGAGATGTTGGTCAAAGGGTACAAAATTATTTATAAGATGAATAAGTCCTGGGGATTTAATGTATAGCATGGTGACTATAGTTACCAATACTGTATTGTATACTTGAAATTTGCTGAGAGTAGATCTTAAATGTTCTCACTACACACACACACACACACACACATACACACAGGTAAAAATGTGAGGTGATGCAAGTGTTAACTACCTTATTGTGGTGCTCATTTCACTATATATAGAAAGACAGTCATCATGCTGTACACTATAAACTTACATAATATTATTTGCCAATTTATCTCAATGAAGCTGAGGAAACAAGTCCCCAAGATCACACACATACACACACACACAGAGTAATGATGATAATAATAATAATAAAATAACACTAACAGTAGTCCTCTAATGAGGAACTTATGAGAAAATATGAAAAACAAATGACAAGTATTTAGAATTTCACAATCTTGAGGGCTCCAAGCTCTGTGAATACAAGCCAAGACTGGAAAGAAACACCTGAAGTATTTTTCAATCATTAATACTTTATTATATTAATACTTGATATATTAATTTTTCTCCTAAAATTTTATATAAAAATACATCATAAACAGATGGACAGTTTCCTTAAAAATAGGAGCATCAGGCCAGCCTCTACTGAGTAAATCTTAATAAGGTTGTGTACTAGAGCCTTACCCCATCCCTCCCACCCCCCCCCCCCCCCCAACTCCCTGGGAGCTCCTGCCCTTGTCCATGGCCGGTTCCCCTGCCCAGAGCAGCCGACCCCCTCCCACACACTCATACTGTGGTTACATTTTCTGCATCTTCATCCACACGGAACAGAATTTGCAACAGAATTCCCCGGGAATGGCACCAAATCACAGCGACGGCAGGGCTATGTGCGCCTTCCTTCTCCTCCGTCCATTTTCAAGGGTTTGGGGCAGTGGAACAGCTCAGGACTAGGTTATGATCTGGAAGCGCCCCCAGAAAGTTGACACTCTATCTAGTACAGAGCTCTGAGAATTCCGCCCAGTCTTATCAAGAGGCCGATGAAGTGGAGAGAATTGGGACCACAGAGGACTAGCTGCAGAGCTCTGGCAGTGGTATTTCAGGGCTTCTTCAGCCAAGCGGACGTTCAGGCGTGCACATAGCGCACGATGGGGGTGACACAGGTGCAGCCCACCGTCACCAGCACTTTCTCCAGCCGGAAGGAGCGAGTGCAGCCCCGGGGCTCCCTCCGCAGGACCAGGAACTCCTGCTGGATGGGAACAGAATTCATGGAGCTGTCTTCCTGCCCCTCGGCATTGATGCAGCCCGAATACCTGCACTGGGCCTCTGCAATCTCCGAGGGGAACCGGTGGGGGTCCCGGGTGATGCTGCAGGGGGAGCGGACAAAAGCAGATGGTGAGACAAGGGAGAGGGAGATGGACAAATGTGAGCGCCCCGCGCCACTGGGCAGGGAGGCATTTCCCAGCAACCCAGGGCTGCAGCCAGATGGCCTGGATTCATCCACAGCCCTCCAGGCAGGTGCTTAACTGCCTAAGCCTATTTCCTCCACTCTAAAATGGGGATTCTCACAGGTCTCTCTCATCGGACTTCTGAGGATATTCAGTGATACAAATGCCCACAAAAGGCTACATGTTGGCATTCAATAAATGTCAGCTCTTTTATTTTTCCTCACACTGTTGTTATTATTATAATTATTATTCATCCTTTGCCTAGATATATGGAATATCACTAGTAGGTCTCCTAATATAAAATCTACAAAGCCTGCTGCTTGGAAAGGAAAGCCAAAGCCCCAGCAGTCTGTGAATCCAGCACATTCCCTGTTTCTCCCTTCAAAGCCCCCTCTGCCAGGAGGTACAAAGGCAGCAAAATCATGCCAGCCAACTTGCCACCACCATACATACTCCCTTCCTCTAGGAAGCCATACAGGAGCCCCAGAAGCACTTCTAATTGTCCCTGGAATCTGTTCTCAGGCTTCTATCTGGAGCATATAGATGAATGCTTAGTATTCCAAGATCCGACACATCAGACAATATCACAGGACAGTACCCTGAACATCCCATCCCCATCTTGCATCCCCTTTCCCAAACTGGCCTTTCTTGTCTACTCTGCCCTCCTCCTCATTCCTTGAAGACTGATGTCTAATCTGAGTGGATCACTCCACACTGACTTTTCTGGCTCCCACTTAACCCCATGCAGAGATCATTATATGGGCTGCTTTAAAGAGCCCTCTCTTCCAGCACAGAAAGCTTGTCAATTCCAACCTAGGGCATCATGAAGCAGGAAAAGGCAGAGAGTCAGTGAGAAGTTGGAAGCAAAATAGCAGGACCTCTGAGCACACAGGAGGACCTAGCCCAAAACAGCAGGAAAAAATGTGAGCTCCCGGGCAAAGTTGGGATTTCTGTTTTTAAGAGTAAATATTAGGGCTTTTTTTTTTTTCTGTATTTTCTAAATTTTTTACATTAGAATAAATTAACATATTTTTCAAAAGAATGTGAAGATCATTCTCATTTACACTTACTTGTAATCCCAAGGGGAGCTGGAGCGGTTCTGAAAATCATTTGAGATGGAAATACCCTGGTTTTGCCTGAGGATGTGGATGTCAACCCTCACACTGTTATCCTCCAGAGGAGGGCACAGGGCAGCACCCCCTGCTTTTGGGTTTTTTCGAGCTGCCCCCTCCCTCAGGAAGGTGAGCCCCAACACCACCAGGAGCAGGGACTTGACCTGGAAAATAGAGAAGGTTGAGTTGGTTAGGGACTCTGATGTCATTTGCTGACAAGAGGCAACCCATGCTCTAGCTGAACTCAGGATCCCCAGTGTTTTATGGGACCATGGCTTCTTTCTGAACCTCAGGTCCTCACCTGGAAATGGGAACAGTCACACATGAAGATATCAGGGTGCCAAAATGAGTAGTAAACTCATTAGCTTGGTGATTGAGCCTCCCAGAGTCTAAGAGCTCCTCAATGTGGGACAGAAAGGTATCAGGATCTGGGACTGGGTTTAAATCTTGACCTGGCCTCATCACTGAACCTCTGGTTTCTCTTCTTTCTAGCTGGATTATAATACTTGCTTTATAATAATATTCACAAGATTAAACGTAATATTCTATTATAAAGTGCCCATAAATTTATCTAATAAAAAAGGATTAATAAATGATAATTCTTATTTTTATTTCCAACCTCATATTTCATGAATTCTCCACAAAATCCTTCATCCCAGCCATCCCTCCACCTAGAATACACTACTTCACCTCTACCTTGATGGAAGCCTACCCTTCCATCAAGGCCCCACCCAGAGGTGGTCTTCTCCAGGAACTGTCTCTAAAGTCATTCAATTAGAAATATGTTCATTTTCCTTAAATCATAAAGCACTTGCCATCTAGCATCGAAGCCATAGCACTCAAGTGCTATGTCTTTACTGTCTGGAAATGTATCATTTTTGTTCAGGTCAGACACCTACTGGATTATAAGTTCCTGCAGAACATACCACAGAATAGGTGTTCCACAAATACTTTCTGGATGAATGGAAGAGCAGGTGAGTGAATGAATGAACAAAACAATACAGTCAAATTCAAAGCATTAAGAAAAACACTGTGCAAAACCAACTATAGCAAAGTTCCAATTATCCATGTTCATTGAAAGAAGCAGGGCCACTAATGATGCACAACAACAGAGAATATGAAAACTATTTGTCTTTAGCTCTGGAACATATATTCTTTATACTTACACTGAAATATCGGTCTATCTGGTGTTACAGGAATGCACAAAGAAAGAAAGTGCTCTGTGAAGACCTCCCTAAAAGAAGAGCTAAAAATCTCTCCAGCTTCCCTTTGTCGCAACCACGTTCTGCTCACCCCACCGTCACCACCGAAACTTACTGGGATGGACAAGGCCTATCACCAACTTTCAACATAATGCAGAACAGGAACTGAAGCTGAGTTGCTTTCATTCTCTGGGTTCAGTGTTGTTCAGGCTCACACCTTCCACAGGCTAAGGTAGGGGAGGTGATTAGACATGTCTGCTTAAAGGACCTCCTTTTTATATTTTGCAGATGCTGGAGGCAAGAAATGACGAGAGTACGCAGAAAGGTGTCAATTTCGTGTACTAAGGTAGCAGATACTAAAAAGAAGTTGAAAGCAAGATTGACTCTGATAAGCCCGAAGTAGGCTGATTTGCCTTCAGATAATCAGCACTTGTCCACTTTCATCTACTACAATCATTCATCCATTCAACTCTTTCTTGACTCTTTATGTGGTGACTCGGGACACATGCTCTAGAGTCAGATGTCCATAACTCAGTTTCAGGACTCTGACTGGCTGTGATTCAATTTCTTCTGACAGAAAATGTAAAGATTAAATGATATGATCCACATAAGGCAGGAAAAGCACTGTCAGCACGGGGCAAGGATTCAACATAGGCAGCCAGTAGGTCAACCTGTCTGAGGATGCGCAGTGGCCAGGAAAGATGTGGAATTTGCCCTCATGCATCTTCTGTCTAGACAAAGTGCTATGAAATAAGTTCGAAAAAGGTAAAAGATGCCTACTTAGACCAGAGGGTTCTTAGCTTCCCAAGCCTACCAATCACTTCCTTTGGTTTCTTAAGGAAATTCCTCCTGTGTGTTTCCTCTTTCCTCTTTGGTATCAAATTCACTGAGTCACTTCTAGCTTTCATCATCAAAGCTTTAAAGTTACTGTATTTTTGGGTTCTATGATTCAGCAATCATTTCCATGCTTCTAACAAATCCTTATATTTGCTTATATTCTTGGAGTATGTTAGAACACACCTTCACATCTCTTTGAATACTGGATTCTCACAACTCCCTCACGAGGTAGGCAGAGCTAGTATGAATTATCCCAATGAGACCGGTGAAAGAGTCATGCCTGGAAAGTAACAACACAACTTGGTTGGGTTCACCAGCCTGTTGGTGCCAGTCTGGGGACTCAAACCTAGGTGTCAGTGGTCAGTACTGTTGCTATTGAAGTCCATTATTATTATCAGTATATAGCCACTCGTGGTGCTTAATCTTAGCTTTGTCCCACAGGAGGAGCCAAGCATTGTAAGCAATGTGGCAGCTGTGTCAGAATTGCATGAGTGTTGGAGGTCACAGAGCTCTTTATCAGGAAATCAGATGATGCCTGCAAAGCACTCTAGTTTGCTCCACAGAGCTTTTGATCTGAAACTGTAGATTTTAGTGGTTATGCGCCAGAGGCTTTGATATGGCTCTTGCTGATTCTTAAGAATGACATACACAGCACTTCTTCTCTGAGAGGTTCAGAGCATCTTATAGATTTGAATTCTTATAGGCCACCTCTGAGGCAGATAAATAGGTATCACTCCTACTCTGTACAACAGGAAACAGAGGCAGGAGAACACATCAGTGAAGGTGGGCACTGTCAGGACATCGACAGCCCAACTCTACTGCAAGTTCACCTGAGACCATCTGAGAATTTGTCTCCCGAACTTCTCTGTGACGTGTGCTCACCCCTGGGTAGGAATGTGCTCCAGAGCCTGGCCAGTTCCTAGGCACACAAGAATTTGTCTCAACTGCTTACCGAATATCTTACCTGCCTGTACCTCCCAGCTTCTAATCCTATTCTAATGCCCTTCGAACCACCATGTTTCTAGCAGATGGCCCAACAGATTACTTCAAACAAACCAGAAATAGAAATGGCTTTAGAGCACAAAGCTATCCGACAGATTTGTTTAGACACAATGGCTTCAAATTCAGAAATCCTGCCTCTGAACCACTCAAGGAGAACCATACTGTACTTGAGGTTGGTAAACCTAGATTCATATCCTAGTTCTTACGTGTACAGTACCCAGTGATGTTAAATCACTTGGCTTAATTGAGCTGTTTTTCATCTGTATGATGGAGAAAGTAGTCCCAATCTACTTCCCTGGGCTGACAAGAGTTTCAGAGGTAAAAATAATAATATTACTAATATTAATATTTAACACATTGAATGCTTTCTCTATCCTTATTGGCTAATATATTAAAATGACCAATTTAACTAAAAACTAAGCCATTTCAGAGGACAGATTTAGTCATTCTCAATGATATCAATTAATCCCCCAAGAAAACCTCTGAGGGAAATGCCATTATTATTCCCCTATACAGTTAAGGGAATAATTATGCACAGAGCAGCTAAGTAATTTACCCCAAATCCCACATTTAGTAAGTAGTGAAGCCAGATCTGTCTGACTCCAAAGCTTATGCTCCCTAACTACTGCACTTTGCTGCATTTCTGGTATTCTCTAAAACAATACATAAATATAAAATAGTATTATCGTCACCATATGCCATGATCTTTTATGAAATCCAAGCTCTTTTAAGTTACATGACTTGTAAATGGAGGGAAAAAAAAAAGAGGGCTTATTTAAGCCAATAATATGGCGTATAATTTCCCAAGCCCTGTTTTCAAGCTCCTCTACATTATATTCTTCCCAGGCTTTACCTGACTAATGCCAGGCAAGATTCTAGACCCAGGAGAGGTAGATTTCCATCATACTAGCATCTCTCTCCTCCTCCGTGAGGAATGAGACAATGCAAAAATAATCAGCTATCTGAGACCTAGCAAATTTCCCTCCTCTGGGAGCTATCCAAAGTTCAATACTGAGTGGTTTCACTTCCTTCACCCTGGGCACTCTTTGTCGACTTGTAGTCTTAAGGGAATCATTAAAGCTTTTGAGGACCCACTTTCCTTGGTGAAAATACATGTGTACTATCTAAAAGGCTGGAAGTCCCCATGATGAGATAGGAGCTTTAGACCGATCTAACTCTATAATGGTGGCCACAGGGGAGATCATGTCCAGCTGTCTGTGACACCAGAGTTGAGCAAGCTATCAACTACCTATGCAAAAGCCACCATATGAGGAGCTATGTTTTGCACCCCATTATAACTTCTAGTTATTTGTTCTTTTTCTCCACCAGACCGGGGTCAAAATTAAAATCAGTCTGTCCTTAAGAAATATTACCATTGGGCGCCTGGGTGGCTCAGTTGGTTGAGCGACTGCCTTCGGCTCAGGTCGTGATCCCAGGGTCCTGGGATCGAGTCCCGCGTCGGGCTCCCTGCTCAGCAGGGAGTCTGCTTCTCCCTCT